GCCCCTCTAAAACACAGTTCATAGTGATTATGTTACTAGCATTGCTACTACGCATTGCTGGATCAGGATCAAATTGCGCAGCAGTCTCCAGAATTAATGCCCAAGTGAAAAGACAATCAAACTCCTTTTGTTTTCAGAGTAAGAGCAGCAAATTTTACTTTGGTTAAGAAAACAGTTCTCAGTTTTATTGTATCCTTGTAGCAGTGCAGAAAAGAAGATAGAAAGAGCAGGTGGCCAGCTTAAAGCCTGACTGTGGAAGAGAACACAGATCAATTAGTTCCCCTTGAAAGCGAATATTTAAGAGAAGGAATTAAGATGATAATATTTATTTTTCTTAACGAACGTAAAACTGGCAAACGCTTTACTGTCCACCTCTAAATGCAAGCATTATTTACTTTCCTATTAGTTAAGTCTCAAAAACCAGAAGGATAACTTGGGACTGGAAGTCCCTCTAGCATTTTAGCTTGGGAATAGGGGGCATTTTTTCAACTTACTGAGAGCACAGTAGAAGATACAAGGCAACACTCCAGAAATGCTGTTTACACTGCATACATTCGTATTACATTTCACCTATTGTCATGCTAGAGGCCCATTGTAAATTAATTTGGCAGATAAATTTACGATGGCAATTTGCCTTCCAGTTGGATAATTTATTCATGTCAGAAATAATTTATTATATTCTCCCTTAAACCAATCTTTTTTTATTTTTTTTCCTGGGGTACCACCTTTGTAAATAAAATTTATTGTTTACACTGAGCCTTGTGTGGCTTCACAGTGGTCAGTCAATAACCTCAAGGGGATAGTTTTGGTCACATTACTGGTCACTTATTTGAATGGATGATGGAGTGCTCTGGTCCCATCTGTACATATATTACTTTCTTTTGTCTTAGGGGCACCGTTGGAAAGATTAATTAGGTCCATCTGCAGGGAAGGATCAGCCTTAGGGGATTCAGGTAAATAAAATAAATGCCAAGGGGAAAAACTGCTGAGGAGGATGTTTTGAAAATCAAACTGTTTTCCATAACATTAATGGTGAAATTACATACAGAAGGAGATTGAAAGAAAAGTAGAACTCCCTTTTAGTCTGGGTTATTTCAGCATGACCTGATAAACATCTTCTACTGCTGCTGTGCTAGGATAGGGATCTATGATGAAGCTTAAAGTCCATGAGCAATATTCTCAGCTAATATAAATCAGTATAGCTTTCTGATCTCAGTGGAGCTACCGTCAATTTATAGCAGTAGAGATTTGAGCCTTATCTGCCACAGTGTTATTACTTCTGTCCTTCATTTGAGTGATCCAAGATGTAGTAAACTGGTCCTAATTCACATTTGGTCTCCTCTTGATTTTCTTTTTTATTTTTTAAATTATAACAGTGCTATATATATTCATAGACTCATAAAATGGTTTGGGTTGGAAGGGACCTTAAAGACCATCTAATTCCACCCGCCCTGCCATGGGCAGGGACACCTTCCACTAGCCCAGGTTGCCCAAAGCCCCGTCCAACCTGGCCTTGAACCCTGCCAGGGAGGGGGCAGCCACAGCTCCTCTGGGCAACCTGTGCTGGTATCTTTATGGGTCTTACATCCCACCTCTGTTTTAATTTCCTTTAAGCTTCTTTCTATATTTTCTTCCTTACTTTTTTCTTCCCTTTCCTCCAGAAAGTTCAGTATGCAAAATGAATCTAATAGCATTGAGCTAACTGATACGATCACAGCTTGTGAAATAGAAACTCAGGTCTTACTGGCTCTTATATCCTTATTATTAAATGCATATTAGTTGGTGTAACCAGTACATAAGCCATGTGAAATTTGTTGCCGTTTAAGTTACATCTCACTGTGTTGTCTTATCAGCCTAAGTGGGGATTTGTATTCCACAATGCAATGGTATTACAATCCACAATATTTTCATAAAACACAGAATGAAAAAACAAAAAGACCATTTTACTCATTGAGCTTTAGCTCTCTTAAGGCACTGGAATATAGGAGTTGTTTTGCTTTTAACTTTTGTTGAAGTTAGGTTCCTTATGAGTTGGGGTTCAACTCCTGCTGAGTTTTAAATTAATATAGTAAAGCCAGAGAAATATGGGGGCATATTTTTGAGATAGAGGGGGAAAACATAAATAATTGAAAAAGAAAGGGAAGAAGCAGACACAAAGGATCCAAAGAAAAATGTAACTTAAAGGGCAAGGGAAGAATGGCTGTTGGTGATCAATTCAACTAGCATGTGGACGTGAAGAACTACTGGTGAGAGGGAAGACATTGGCTCTGGAAATGAACGTGCCTGTCTTCAGCCTGTTCTAGCAGCAGTGGCCCCTCAGTCTCAGAGAGGGACAATTCCTTCTGTGGTTGAACTTCGAGATCTAATTCTAAACAGTTGCTGAGTCGGCAGCATGCAGTGCTTGAAGGAAAACTGTCTCTGTGTGTAAACAAGGTGTGAATATGTGCACATTGCCAGACCCAGCCAGTTAGACACCCTGGAGTGTATCTGGAGTTTTGTTTTAGAAGTTGTGCTGCATAGGTGGGTCAGTCCCTCACAGTCTTTAGATAAGATTATCACAAAATAAAGATGCAGTTTGATAGCTACATCTTTAGGATGAATAGCTCAGTGTACTGCCATTGCAGAACAGAGCCTCTATTGCCTGAAGGCTCTTGTTCCTTTTAGCTTGATGCACTTTCTAGATGAAGGGTATTCTGAAGGCTCTCTCCTGGTCTTCATGAAATAGGTCAATTGGCCACAGCCCAACACCTAGAAAACGAGTCCTACATCTTAGAAACACTCTCACGGCTAACATCTACTGGAGTAGTTCTTTTTTGTATCAGTGGTGCAGCAAATGAAAGAATAGTTGTGAAACTTAAATGGTCCTTTAAAGAGTCAGTTGTCCCCCAGTCAAATCTTCTGGGCCAATTTATTTTCTCAGGTAGAGATAGGTGGTTACTATTTGGGTTATGCTGCACATGCTTATTATCATAGGCAGCTTTGTCCTGCAAAGAGTGAGCCCTATCACTTCCCCTGGGCTCCATGTATGCATATTCTGCAGGATTCTGGAAGCATGCCTGGATCATGGTATTATGTCTTCAGTTGTGCCGTTGGGAATTTGAAACTGAGGGACTCAATAGTTCTCTTCACTGTTTCATAGCAATATACAAGCTGGGTATGGGTTTGTTGGGCCTGCAGCCTTTTTTTTTTTTTTTGTGAGACTTGAATCTACCTGCAATAGGGAAATAATTTGTGTGTCTGGTTTGTTGTTTGTTTGTTGTTTTTTTTTTTCCCAAGTGTTTTGTTTGTTTGTTTTGGAAGTTTTTTGAGGGAATTCAAAATTTTTAAACAAAGTATATCAGACAGGGATTAATTCTTTTGGCATTTATCAAAAACTGAAAAATGCTTCGTGCTCTGTTTTTTGGTTGCTTTTTGTTTGTTTGTTTGTTTTTAAAGAAACCCTGTTATTGAAAACAGATATTCCTCACTGAAATTTTCATTTCCTGGAAAAAAACACATTTTCCATCAAAATATTTCAGTTAAAGAACTATGTCAGGTCTCCAGGGTGTCCTGAAAAGACAGGAAAAAAATTAATAGAAAAAGGGTGACTATCAACAGACAAATATTTGGCTCTGCTCTATGGTTCTTACTCAGGTAAAATTCTTCCTGGGATAAGAAATGAGAGCAAATTTCAGCATATAGGAACTGGTCAATCCTGCCCAACATATGGCTAAAGTAACTGCCATATCTGTACATTTTCCAGGAGTGAACACATTTTATACATACCTCAAGTAACCAACTTGTTCATTTTATAGAGTGAGTTTAACAAGTGAAGAATGGTTGTGAATGTACCATGAAGCTGGCTCAGCAAAGGTTTTCCTATAATTAAAATACATCTGGCTCTGTTCTGAGTGGGAAATCACAGACCTCTGAATGTTTTGAGTATTTCCTTATGCACAACAGCAGCAGAAAAACTCCATATGCCTTAACCCATCAAATTCTGTTCCCCTTAATCATGTGGATAAATCAGCTGCGATAGGGAACTTTAAACTAGCATCTTTGACCTGAAACTGATGGATTCTAAGCAAAGACGATGGAAATAGTCACGGCAAGTCTGAAGGGCACAGAGCAGCTCTCAAATCTGTAACACATTGGTGTTAATGTAAATAAGTGTGAAATAGCTTGATGTACTTCTCCAAAGCTTGTGACCACCACGGGCACTGCTCTTTCTGATGCAGCTGGAACACCTTCTGGTTCCACAGCTGTATCCTCAACTGCCAAAAGCGCCACAGAGCAACGAGGGAGTGTGCGGCTGTGACTGGGGAAGGGTACAGACAGTGTCTGTGTCCTCGTCCCTCACCCTTCTCAAAGGGGCAGACTTGCATCGGGGGGCAGCGACAACTTCCTTACAACAGTCTTTAGCCTGGCAGTCGTCCAGACGAGGGGTGCAGGGGGCAGGGTCCTTGGTGGCGGCCGCCGGGCCGGGAGGCCTGTGAGCATGGGGAGCGTGGGGCGAAGGTGCGTATGGCGGCACCTCGGCCCTGCTGTGGCCCTTATTTGTATTGTCCTCTCCCTTCCCTGCCTGCCTCTGGGGCCTTTTGTCAAGTCCTCAGCGTCCACCCCAGCTGTGGCACAAGTGACAATCGGGCTCTCCTGCATGGGAAAGCCCATGAGGCACGAGGTGGGCTGCAAGGTAGGGAGTGCTGGATGGAGGATGGGAATCATGGATGGATGGATGGATGGACAGGCGGATGGATGGATGGATGGATGGATGGATGGATGGATGGATGGATGGATGGATGGATGGATGGACGGACAGATGGATGGATGGATGGATGGATGGACAGACGGATGCATGGGCAGATGGACAGATGGACGGCTGGCTGGCAGGGCCGTGGCTGGGAGGGGGCCGGCTGTCTGGCGGCGTGGTGCGGGCCC